TGTTTTGGGCCAATTTAATGGGAGAAATATTTTGGATACACTACATGTCGAACTGTCTGCAGGTTCAGTTGAGCTGCTAGTCTGCCTGAAGAAAATGCATTGATCGAACCTCAATGAAGGTCCTGGACCCATCAGTTTAAGCCCTTTAATTTAACTATTCACGCGAACTTACATTTTGGCAAAAAATCAGCCTTTTGCATGCTTAATTAATGCCTTTGCCTAATTTGCATATGTCCGCAATATGCAAATTAGATTAAGGCATTAAGTAAGCATGCAAAAGGCAAATTTTTTAGGAAAAAATGAATAGTTCCTTTAACTATTCATTTTTAATACAAATTGTCTGAAATTTTGTACAGTAATTAAAAACCCAACAAATTTTCCATCCATTGACTCAAAATACGATTAAAGCTTCTAAATTTCATGCGCAAGCCATTTTTAGCTTGTTCGGAAAGAAACACCCCTCTGGTTTACACAATCTGAGTTTGAGTATTTGTTTTCATTATTCTACATTATGCATGGGTACTGGAGGAATCTATATATAACAAAAACTTGATACCACGAGCTGTTTTGTGAAATTGAGAGCAATTTCAAATCTGTTCAGTTTTTTTTTTACCCTGTATATAATAGTATGGATATACTATGGATTTAGTGGTGCAATTGCAAATTTCATAGTATGGATTTCACATTTTTCCCCAGTGTGTGTTTGATATTAAACTCTTTTTTGAAACAAATGCGTTAACTTTGCTTTAGTTAAAAGCATAAAAAGAATTCTAAAATCCACAACGATACTTGGACGTGATGTTTCAGAAAAATATAATGTAAATTTGTTTTTTCAAGCGGTATTCTGGACGTTTTTTACCACCGTACGCTTGGGTCGCATCGCGAACATTGCAGTATTTGCAGTGTTTTCTGCACAATCTAGCAAACATACCACCACAAACATACCACCATAAAAAAATTGAACGGGCGTTTTGCGAAATAGTACTAACTCGCCACGGGAAGAATTTTGATAAACATTTTCAAATGAATACCAACAAGTCATAACCAGTAATTAATAACCTTTGTCAATTTTACATGTAATAATTCACGCTTAGTTGACCATTAACTGACGCAGTAAAACTGTATTTCAAACACTCATTAATAATTCATAAGCTTATTGGCAAATCATGTCAACCATAATGTATCACGTGCAGTGGCTTTAAACCTGATAAAACACTCCTAATTAGTATTCTTTATATAAGGAATACTAATAAGGCAATATCTATTGTAGTCGTGTCCTCATTAGTATTCTTTATATAAAGAATACTAATAAAGCAGTATTTCTATTGAATTTCTGGTCGTGTTTGAAGCCGTTTAATAAACTCGCAGGTCGTGTTTTATTAGGTCTAAAGCCACTCGCGCGCAAAACCTAATAAAACACTCCTGCTCGTTTATTAAACAGTGCATAAAACATGTTTATATTTTGAAATTTTAAAAAAAAATCATGCCTTGTTGTTCACGAAATCCATCGTGAAGCCCACGCGAGAAATGTTTGTACACGTCACATCTCGTAAAAAAATGCCAAAATTAAACCTAAATTTCTCCCTTTTCCTTCGGTATTTTTTTTTTAATTTTGTGCTCAACAAGTGCAATATCCTTTTTTCTTAAAATTATATCAAAGGGAAATTTTTTAATCATTGATTTTTGACGTTTTTTAAATTTGCTAAGAAACGTATCCATAGGATTTTTTAAAATTGAAGAAAAAAATCAATATTCAATACAAAACCAATAAATTGTATACTGTATAAAACCAATAAATTTCATGTAAATGGACGAAACAGGAGTCTCCTGACAAAAACCCAAGGGATCTACCTTAATTAAGCAGGCCTTTTTCGACCAAGAAGCCTTCCAAGTAGGATGGAAAAGGGCAGTAAATATACTTCAACGTATTTTGTAGGTGAAGATCACTGCAGGTTCTGGGAGTCGTTATACCGTCTGGGCGGGACAAGGAGTGTTAGCAACAGCTTCTGGTGAGAATGTTTTAAGGTATGCAAACGTAGGTGTCCAGTTTGGATAATGTATGATGTTATTCAATATTCCGCTGCCATTATTTATGTTTATGTGAACTACCTAAAAGCTACACCTGAAAAGGGGAGATCTATAGTGTAACATGCCTATAACCAAGCTTTAGAGTTACCGGGTCGCAGCCGAAGAGGCGAGAAACCTCTAGGAAGTTTTTGATTTTCTAATGTTGGAAATGTTTAGTAGTAACACTAGTCACTGATAGGCAATTCCAGCTTTTAGTTTATGCGTGCAGGGGGTGATGGGAAGTAAGGTATCATATTGCTGAAAATGCTGAAAAAGTAAAAATGACGGCCGTGTAAACACAGAGTGGTGGCTTAAACTTGTTAATGTTGAAATATTTCGGTTGTTTCGGCAGTTTTTATTGATTTTTTTAGCATAATCAGCAATATGATACGTTACTTCCCGTCACCCCTGCGCGCATAAACTAAAAGCTGAAATTGCCTATTGATAAAATCACAGTTTCAATTCACTTTATAAACACTCTCAAAACACTAAACATTGTACTTTCGAAACTAATTAATATTCTAAATTAATTAATATTCTAAACTGCGAGTTAAACTAATTAATATTCTAAACTACGAAATGTTTGACACTATAAAGTTAAAACATTTTTTCCCGTCTCTCACAATTACAAAAAAGGTGTTTGTGGTAATATTTGGGACGCTAACCAACCAGAAATTGGATAAATCCCATTGAATCCATTCATGCAGTATCTGATTTATTTCTCTGCATGAACTTGAAACATTCCGGTTCGGTTGACTCATTGCTACTTACCGGGCTGCGTACGTAGTATTATACAAAAGATTGTCATGATTTGTGTCTGAACTACCTCAAACCTTTGGTCCAATGTAGATATGGTATCCTATCAAATATTTAAATAAACACGATGCCATATGGTATTTGCTTTATCTATAGAATGTTGGATATAGGTCGCAATGAGAATTATGTCCTGGGACTAGAGAGTGCTGCTTATGAACAAGGTGAATGCATTACGTGCATTGCGTATTCCTCCATGAAAGGTGAGTGACGTTTGAAGTATGCTAGATGTGCATGATATTATACTGTATTTTATTTAGATTTTAGGATATTTGGGCATCTCACTCTCGACTAAACCAACGCTCCTGTATGACCCTGTAGATTAAAAATTTCAATTCCTGCCGTAGGGCCCATAGCATTTTCCGCGGCTGCTCCTGGTTGGGTTTGAAGAAAGTAATTTTAAAATTATATATGAAACTCTTTTCCCGATTTTTTATACCTTTGACTGAAAACAATGAGCTGCCGCCATCTTGGATTTTGTTTTCATCTCATTAATGAACGGTGGTTTTGGTGATGTAACAAGCAGGGTTAGCCCATAGAAATATAGAATGCGTACTTGATCACGAATCATGTTTCGACTTTTTCTCAAGCATACCCTTTCAAATCCGCCAGATTGAATTTGACTATTGGAGTGAGAAATATAAAGTAGCTATAAACAAAGCTAAGAATAAGTTTTCATCGTCCAAAAGTTTTGATTTCCTGTCTAATTTTCAGTTTGAGGAAAGGTTTAAAAATATTAGGTTCTTTGAAGGCTCAAAAGCAACTTCGGTATTCAAGTTCACATTTACTCGTTTTAACTGTAATTAACTAATATAAAGTGTTGCATCTGTTGTTCGTTTACTAAAACGGTAAAACAAAGTAATTTCGCGTGGTCATAATTTACTCTTAAAACTTTTTTTGCATGCTCTGAGCAGTTTTGTTGCATTTTGTGAACTTCAATTTAATGTAAAATGTTTAACTGAATTGCTTCGTAAAATGTTTTGAAATGTTAATTCAACCACACTGTTTTTGGCGAAAAACTGTTTTTACTAATGTCCTGTGATGAAAAAAAAAGTTCAAATTGTTGTTTAATTTCAGTTCGGTTCTTTCACATTTTTCCTTTTTTCTTAAGTTAAATTGAAAAAGAAAAGTTTACGCAGTGCGTGTTTTACGCAAGAAGTTGAAGAACAAACTTCATAAAGCCGGTTTTCCACTAGCGATTTTTTTCGCGCGAAGCGAATTTATCCTTTGTCTTTGGGCAATTTGTTCCAGATGGTTGCAGCTGAGAGCTCTAAAACAATAGCAAAATGTCGCTTCGTGCGAAAAAAATCGCTAGTGGAAAACCGGCTTAAACATTAAATATTCAAAGCGAACTTGCCTCCGACTATATTTTATATTTACAGGTATTCTTGCTGGTGGGACAAACCTTGGTAAGATAGCGATGTGGCATGCTGTGAAGAATAAGACTGGAGCAGAGATTGATGGCGAGAAAAAATGGGAGTTGTCGTCCCCTTCAGTTATACAAGAGCCTGTTTTACAACTGCAGGTTTGACGTTCTTTATTTACTAGAATATTCTCTTCAGTTTTTTGGAGTTAACCAAAACAATTTGCAACGGGATCCCAACACTTGACATCCATGTCATCTTACGTGTATGAGTCGTGGAAGAAATTTAGTTTGAGGGCAATATGGGGCTTTCATCAGAGCATGCAAGCGCCTTTTCACCTCTGAGATCATGTGTTCGATTCTCGCTGTGAACACATGACAATTATGTGTATTTCGCATAGAAAACGTCCTCGTCTATACAGAGTGTATAAAAAAACTGAACAGATTTGAAATTGCTCTCAATTTCGCAAAACAGCTATTAGTATCCAGTTTTTTATATATATGGCTTCTTTGGGTACTTATAATGTAGAATAATGAAAAAAATTTCGCGAACACAAATTTTGTAAACCAGGGGGGGGGTGTCTTTTCCGACAAAAAATTTAAAAGCTACAATCGTATTTTGAGTTATTGGATGAAAAAGGGGTTGGGTGTTTAATTGCTGCACGAAATTTCAGACAATTTGCTTCAGTTTAAGCCCTTGCAATGCAACTTGCATGCTTTATTAATGCATTTGCCCAATTTGCATATGTCAGCAATATGCAAATTAGGTAAAGGCATTAATTAAGCATGCGGAAGGCTGATTTTTTAGGAAAAAATGCAGCCTAGTCCCAGTCGTTCTGAAGCAAGCGCGAGAAAAAAAGTGGATGTAGTACGAGACTGGGGCCTAGGTGTGACGTCACCGCTCAAGGTGCTTCACTAGGCTCTCTCGCTGAAGCGTTCCGCACAGCACACAGAAATTTTTTTCGTTGTTCTACCTTATAAGTACCCAAAGAAGCTATATACATCAAAAACTAGATACTAATGGCTGTTTTGCGAAATTGAGAGTAATTTCAAATCTGTTCAGTTTTTTTTTATACACCCTGTATATAACCAGCTTTACGTTTTCTGTTTGTTAGTGGGGCGGAGGTAAGGGACTTCTTGGTGCCAATGTTGGATCATCAGTTGTCATCCTCAAAGAGCAAATAATGAATATACATTTTAACGACATGGTAAGTTAGAACTTTGTATTGTAAAGCAGTCTTCCACTTCTGCTTTTAATTAACAGCAACTGGCTAAGTCTCCGTCGCTTTTATGCCGGAACGAGAACTGAACAATTAAAGTCAGTCACTCGACTCGTCGATCAACTCTTCTTAGTTGTATACATGGTATTAATTAACGCATTAAACAAACCTGAATGATTTGTGTTTGAACAATGTGAACGTGGTTCAAAGTTCAAACCCGAAATTTTGCCCTAAATTTTAGATCAATCGATGTAACTACCTACCGTACCGGCTGGTATAACCGTATAAGCTCCCATATCGTCATCGGAATTGATCGTGTCCGCAAATTGGATTTTTCGTTATCGGCTTATGCCTAAGTAAACTCGAATTAGCGATCTGTGCCAGTGTAGGTAGTGTCAAAAACACCATCATGAGATAAATACAGATGGATATGGATTCAATCCCTTTGTCGAGAAGTTGGTAGCCAAACTACTACATTCCCGACGAAGGTTGTTCGCTCGAAACGTCGCAGTTTTACTTGTATTTTTCAGGTAATTGAATCCCTATTCATCTGCTTTTCTCTCATGGCCAAGTAGTAATAACTTATCTTCATTTTTTATGCAGGTTGCTGCAATACAAATCTCCCCCAGTCAGTTAACGATAGAGAATTTTGCCACAGATTATTGTCACGATCTTAAAACAGATATACATATCAAAGGAGTTTACATGCTCAAGGTAAGATCAATTTCTACTTAAATGTGCAAATAATATGTAGCCGATAAATTATATCCAGAAGTTGCAGTGGTTTGTATCTGAACTAAATGAATAAGATTGGAAATACTTCGTGGTCAAGTGCTTTTTTCAGGTACTCTATAGACAAAACCTATGGCAGAGCTTATTGTAGAATACTACCACAGAGTAGATACATACAGAGCTGGAACTAGCCGTTGTAAACACGGCGGAAACTTACGTTTTCATGTACCTACTTTTTTTCAGGTGACCGGCCAAAAAATGATCAACTGCGCGTGCTTGGCAAGTTCCGCGAGCAGTTAAAGCGAGTCGCCATCCAACGGGATGCATGCATCTAGTAACTTGCCGAGCATGCGCGCAAAAAAGTGGGTACACTAGTTATAACTCTGTATATGTAGCTACTCTGTGATACTACCTACAATGGACCACCACTTTGAAGATATCTTTTTTAGGTAGTTCAGACACAAACCATTACCTACACTGGACTACCATGCACGTTTGAGATATCTTGATTCTTGAGAAAAATTTGTAAACATGTTTTCCCAGGATCACGTGATTGTCTGGGATGGCAAACGTGTTGTCGTCTATGAAGTTTCTTCCGACATGGTGATGGTGAGAGCTGCCGGTAAATAATCTTTCTTTCTCTAGTTCTCATATCTTACCATTACTAGGCAAGTTCTGTGATGGTGTTTGGATGTATTCTTTGCCGTCCATAGTGCCCACCGTTATATATTTGCCACAAAAAATCGGGGATGCCGTAGTATGATGTAATAGAGACCTTACGATGTAGGACGGCAACGCAACGACAACGGCCAGAATAAAATCATTCAAATAAACGATTGTAATGAATATTTGTATAGACTATTATTGATCGTATGAATTTAAAACTGCTTGGTTAGCTTGAAATAGTGGCTTTATCGTTGAGAAAGTTTCGCTGTGAGTACTGAGCTAGTTTCGTTGCGAAATGTTGTAAAATGCGGATAATATAGCTCTGCGAAGATTGCCGTTTTTCACTCATTTTGTATTACGCACGGGAAATTGATACCGCTTTCTGAAAAAAGGTATATTTTGTGATGCTCTTTCAAGCTGTGATGAGATTTTTATCTAGATAATAGGTCCATTGTTCGTTTCTTTTCTTTTCTTTTCTTAAAAATTATAAATCACATTGTTTGAATAGCCGTCGTAGTCACGTTGCCGTCCCACATCGCAAGTACTAGATAAAACATGAGCAGCCGATATGTATCTAATATACAAACTTAAACCGAAACTTAAAAAATGACCCATCTTATGAGTTCATTGGCGAAGTAATTTTAAAAATAAACATTGTCTAAGCCGAGAAAATCAAAGCTCAAGTTTATGTAAATCAGGACAAATCTTTATCCAATTTACAAACATTGATTAAACATTCATTTCTTTTGTATTTTCCTCGTGAATTATTAATACCCTTTTTAGTGCAGAGTTTCTTTGAAACTGTGCACTATTGTGATGAGTGGGAAAATTCACATCAGTCAGTCAGTCAATCAGTCATAGAGTAAACTTTCCGGGGGGTGTATTATGTGTATACGATTTATGTTTGTAGTGATTTATTGTGCTTTGAAGGTTATTTAGGCAATTTCAGTTGTTTTATTTAAATATTCTTTTGTCCTTTTGCCAAGTTCACAAAAATTTCGAGGAATCGTTGTCGTTATTGTAAATTTTTGTAAATTTTATAACATTCGCGTCTCATGTTGTGTGAAGGATCTTTCCCCCCGGAAAACCCATTTTTTTCTTTAGCAACGCAAATGCGCATGCGCTATCAAGCCGTAGATCACGATGGCGTGACGATGGTAGGAAGGAGCGCTGGAGCGACACAGTGTTGTTTTCAAATTATAAACATTTTGGACGTGAATATTGAGTAAATCTTTGAGAATCTACGGAATATATAAATCGATGTTATGCATTAAGGGCATTCAATTAAGTACCGATATTATTTTGACGGTATATTCATTATACAAAGCTAGGAGGCAGCGAGACAAGTGTTGTTTCGAAATGTATAAACATTTCAGACGTGTATTATATTGAGAAAATCTTTGAGATTCTACGCAATATATAAATTGATGTTATGCATTACGGGCATTCAATTAAGTACCGATATTATTTTGAGGGTATATTCATTGTACAGAGCTAGTAGGAAGCAGCGAGACAGTGTTGTTTTGAAATGTATAAACATTTCAGATGTGTATTATATTGAGAAAATCTTTGAGATTGTACGCAATATATAAATTGATGTTATGCATTTATACGGGCATTCAATTAAGTACCGATATTATTTTGAGGGTATATTCATCATTGTACAGAGCTAGGAACTGAAGCAGCGAGACAGTGTTGTTTTCAAATGTATAATCATTTCAGACGTGTATTATATTGAGAAAATCTTTGAGATTCTACGCAATATATAAATTGATGTTATGCATTACGGGCATTCAGTTAAGTACCGATATTATTTTGAGGGTATATTCATTGTACAGAGCTAGGAACATCTATGGCTAGGAAGCAGCGATGTATAAACATTTCAGACATAAATATTGAGAAAATCTTGGTTTACGTGTCTAGCACAAGTCGCACAACGCCAACGGTGCAAACTCGTGTTCAGTGCAACGAGAACTCTACCATATCTTACGAGATTCTATCTGTATCAAAGCTTGTCAAAACTGCTATAAACACTGCTATAACTGTGAAACCATTGAAATCTAAAGTGACGTTATTGAATACATGCGAAAAGCTGAAAATGCAGTCATGAACACAACGCGACCTTCAAAATAACTCAAAGGTCAGTGAGACTTGTTATTGTGAACACGTCACAACTAGGTTAAAATGCGGAAGCGGATGCAAAACGGAGCGGCTCCGCGGAACGGATATGGAGATAAAATGCGGAACGGAACGGATTTGGATAAAATCGCCTCTTTTTTACGTTTCCGTGTTTTAGATTTATGTTTTTTTGTAATGGAATACAACGTCGTAGTGCTTATTATTCATAACGTATCTTATACAGCTATTTCAATTAAAGTTGTGACTGAGACAATAGTCAAATGTACAATATGGGCGCTAAAACGATGATGGCAATAATCATAGATTTAAATAAGTTTAGCATATCAGTAGTCTTGTGGGGATACATACGGCGACAGCTCCAATAAATTGTGTCAGTTCCACGAGGCACGACGTTTCTGATGTATTAGGCTTGTTTTAAACGTCGAGTTACTCGTGTGCCGAACGCATTAAAAACAATAGATAATGAGATGAAATGCCTATGGTAACTGTTTATTTCGTAGTGTAACCCATCAGCTTTTCTAGGTTGTCGGCGATCCTATATAATTCTTGCAGTGTCTTTCAATTTCAAACTTTATAACATTATAACAGAAATTATGCCTTGTCACTATAATATTATATGGGGAAATAAATAATATTACGTAACTCTCGTTATTCTTCAACCGTAAAGTATTATATTAACCAGATCTTAGCCTTTTTACTGTTGTAACAGTTCCGCGCGCTACTACGACATGTGATTAAGGCTATAAACCACGCTTGAAAAGCTATGCAATTAATAAGCATGCCTTATAGCGTTTGTCTTTGAAACTCTGCACTATCCTTGGATCCCTAGTCTTTTATACTACTTAAAAGATTTAAGTGGCAAAGTTATATATTTAAAAATTATAATATAGCATGTGTAAATTCTGAACGCTGATTGGCTACGAGCCGTGTTGATATAACTGAATATCAACACGGATAATTTATTTGGCTTTATATTTCTTTGTGCTATATTATAAAACAAATATAAAACATTTTTTCCGTATTGATAAACAGTTGTGTATATCAACACTCGTGGAAATTGGGAAAACTCGAAATTGTGGGAAACCACTCAGCCCTACTCCGCCCTCTGGGCGTCGTGTTTCCACACAATTTCTTGTTTTCCCTATCTCCACTCGTGTTGGTATACACAACTGTATATCAACGCGGAAAATGTTTTATATTTGTTAAATATAAAACATTTTCCGTGTTGATATACAGTTTTAGTATTTTTGCACAAGCTAGTGAACATAATAAATCCTACAAGTTGATTGGTCAAATTTAACGTATTAAGCTCTTATATTCACCTACAGGTGAATATAACAAAATCGAAATTTTCAAAATGGCGGCTAGCCGTTTTGTGGAAGTTACTGTTAAAGAAATCAGCGAAATTAAAATAAATTCAGTCCCAAAAAACACAAAAGACTTGTGTAAAAATACTAAAACAATTATTCGCCTCAGGTTCGGTGATTATCGGGGAATATTATACCTCAAATTTAAATTGTCCAATCAGGAAGCTAGATTTGTACCACGTGAGCATGAAATTTATCATCGTATCGCGCTTACGTCATTCGTATTTGGTGCAGCAGGAAGTTTCAGTCATATTCACCGGTGAATATGAGTCAAATTCACCGGTGAATACGATTCGCGTAGACCACGCGAGACAACACGCATGACAACAACATGGCCGACAAAGTATAAATAGTATTGATGAGTGATGAATAATCTGGGTAAATGACTGTAAAACCTGGGGCTTTTTCAAAATTTTGAAGTAAATTTTGAAAAATGTTGTCAATATTCCAAACGATATGTGATTCGAAAGAAAAGCGACGATACTTGCGTTAATCCGAAAATAAAACATCGTATTCACGAAGGTATGTGTCAAGTTTTTATTTCTCAACTTGGAGGCTTTTAATTTTCGGTATAATATATCATTTATAGACCCTCCGCTCGGGGGATTCGGCGAAATATTTCCCGAAGTGATGATATTTCCCTCGGGCTTCGCCCTCGGGAAATATCATCACTTCGGGAAATATTTCGCCGAATCCCCCTCGCTCCGGGTCTATAAATGATAAATATTCACCTCGACTTCGTCTCGGCGAATATTCCCCGATAATCACCTCGCCTTCGGCGAATAATTGTTAAATATCAACACGAGTGGAAATTGGGAAAACGAGAAATTGTGTGGAAACAACACGACGCCCGGAGGGCGGAGTGTTTTCACACAATTTCGAGAAAGAAATTTTCCGTGTTGATATTGAGTTTTGTCAGAAAGAAATTTCTGTCAGAAAGACTTTCCAATTTCGAGAAAGAAATTTTACGTTACGTCCAGAATTTACAAGTGCTATATTATTAATATATATTAATATATATATATATTAATAATGCTATATTAATAATGCTATATTATTAATATATATTAATATATATATTATTAATATATATATATATATATATATATATATATATATATATATATATATATATATATATATATATATATATATATATATATATATATATATATATATATATATATATATATATATATATATATATATATAAGATTAAAGTGAAGAAGTTTTAAGCTATAGGAGTATAGCTATACGTCCGCATTAATCCTTTTCCGAACACTCCGGTTTTGATATTTTGAAAACGCATCTAACACAAAATCTCACTACAGACACTAGTGTTTGGGATTTTTTCATAAAACGCGATTGTCGAACAGAAAGGAAAAATGAGCTTGGACGATATTTGAGTTCGGTAAATTGGGACATAATCGATGCTGTGGAAATCTGTGAGGATAAACTTTCCTTTTTAGAAGATATTATTAAAATTGGGTTGGATCATATTATGCCCTTGAAAGAAACTATGACTCATTCTCTCAACGCTCCATGGGTTACACCTGAATTTATCCACCTCATTAAATGTCGTCAACAATATTTTGCTAAAATGGATTTTATTACCTACCGATTCTACCGTATCCTTGTAAACAGGGAAAGAAAGTCTTTGCGAGAACATTATTTTTCTAGTAAGGTAAAATATCTGAAGAATGCAAAGCCCTCAGCATGGTGGAAAGAATTGAAAAATATAGCAGGTATGCAGGTACCAACTTCAGGTGAGGACTTGACTGCACAGCTACATATTGACAACATTGACAAAGAGAACCTGTCTGTTACTACAAATAAGATCAACCAAACATTTCTAGAGCCTAAGCTCTCCATAGCAACCCATATGCAGTTCAACGTATAGGATCGGACCTGATTAAGAATTTTCATATATTACGGAGTACTCCACATATAATATCCTCCGAAACTTAAATGTACGAAAAGTTGGTGGCCCAGACGGAATTTCCAACTGGATTCTTGGGGAATATGCCGTAATTCTGGCAAAACCAATTTCTTCGATTTTGAACAGCTTCTATAAAGAAGAACACCCCCCTTCATCACGGAAACAGGCTGATATTACCCCAATCCCAAAAGAAAAGCTAATTATAGAAGTGAACAAACATCTTCGACACATATCACTTACACCATCTATCTCAAAGGTGGCCGATGATTATATTGTCACTAATTACATAGCACCTGCAGTTCTCGAAATTATTGATCGCAGCCAGTATGGCGCTATCAGAAAGGCGTTTGATCTGATCGATCACAACATTTTAGCAAAGAAAATTGACGAGTTGTCACAATTCCTCGAAAAGTAGCATGTTGGGCAGTGGATTTTCTGATGAACAGATTCCAAAGAACTGAACTATCGAATGTATATTCAGATTGGGAAATGGTACCATCCGGTGTTCCCCAAGGGATCAAGTTGGGCCCATGGCTGTTTTTGCTAATGATCAATGACCTCCACCTAGACGATACAGATTTATGGAATTCCCAAAGGCAGCAACAGTAACATCCAAGTTGCAACTTCTAAAGTCGAAAACTGGTCTTTAGACATAAACTAACAAAATGTAAAGAACTGAGAATTGATTTCAAGAAGAGAAAACAACATTTTCATCCTGTCATGGTAAGCGGCAGACCAGTTGAAGTTGTTAATCACGCAAGTCACGCAAAATTGCTTGGTTTGACAGTTTCCGACTTGTTGCCTGGAATAAGCACATTGAAGAAACAATGGATGACTTACGCTTTAGAAAAATTTTTAATCTGGGAATAACAAAGGATATTTTCTGAAAGAAGTTATCAAAATTAGAAAAACTGCAAAGTTTGGTTGCGAAATGTTGTAAAATACGGAAAATATAGCCCTGCGAAGTTGGCGAATTTGTATATATTTCTATTACGTGCGGAAATTGGTAACTAATTTAGTTACCAATTCACGCACGTAATACAAAAGTATACAAATTTGCCAACTTTGAAGGGCTATATTTTCCGTATTTTACAACATTTCGCAACCAAACTTTGTAATATTACTAATTCCAAAACGCTCTTTCCAGCTGTGGTGATAGATTTCGTTGTTCGTACTTAGATTAAAATTTAGTCTAAAGCGCAAGTCGTCCATTAAAAAAGCAAACAAACGATTATATTGTCTTGTTCAACTAAGACGGGTAAGAGTTCCTGAGAAAGAAATTGTGCAATTCTATTGTTCTTGTATTAGACCCGTCTTCGAATACACAGCTCCAGTTTTACATCACACTCTACCAAAATACCTGGAAGAAGATTTAGAACGCGTCCAAAAAAGATCGTTTGTTAATTATATATAATGGAGCACCATATAAGGAAAATCTACTGGATGCTGGCATTGACAGTCTGTATGATCGAAGACAAACATTATGTAATAAACTATTCCAGTCCATAAAATCTGATAGTACCAATAAACTTTACCAACTCTTGTCTCCCATTAAGAATCATGTATATAACCTAAGACATAAGCGTACTTACCATGCCCCAGCAGCGAACACTATAATCGATTCAAAAGAATTGAACATTCAACATCAACATCAAATTTATTAACTTTTAAATAATAATACAAAAATAAGAATGGCCCGCAAATAGCTAAAGCTAATCTATGGCGGGCATATCTTTTACAAAAATTACAATACGAATTTGATTACGATTATGTAAAGTTTGTCACAAACAGACGAACATGCGTGACACTACAAACGAACATGAATATTAAAAAAAAGAAAGGAAAAGTAAATAACGTGCAATGAAGGTGGTACGTTTGCACTTAGAACATTTACATTTGAAACTATTGTTGGTATATCAAGATATGTATCTTCTTGTTCAAAAATATTTATAGGTATTTTTTATTGATTTCTTAAACCTAGGTTTTGTCATCTCCCTAAGAAAAACTGGTATCTCATTCCACAGTTTTACACCTGTCCGTGAAACACCTTTCTCTTGTATTTTAAGTCTTGATATTTCATCAGGGGATAGAAATTATCAGATGCAACAGATCGAGTACTGTGTGTATGAATACTAAAAATCTTTTCGAAATAAATTTACAATATTAGTTGGAGCTACTCCGTTATTTACATCGTACTTTAAATTTGACACTGACTGATAATATAAAAGACTTATTGGCATTATGACGGAATCAACAAAAAGTGGGATCGCATGCTCCCTTCTGTTCTTGAAAAATATTAGGCGAAGAACCTGTTTTTGAAGAACTAGGATCTTTCAAATATGATTTGCACGCCTGCCCCCAGATTACCAAACCATAAGTTAAATATGGAAGAATCAAAGATCTATAGATATTCAGAAGGATATCAGTTGGTACAAAATGCCTTAATTTTGCTATAAGACCTACAGTTTTACTAATTTTTAAGTACTAGTTAAAATATGAGCAGCTGATCTTTATGTACTGTTTAATAAACGAGCAGGAGTGTTTTATTAGGTTTAAAGCCACGAGCGCGCAGCGCGAGTGGCTTTAGACCTAATAAAACACGACCTGTGAGTTTATTAATTAAACGGCTTCAAACACGACTACAAATTCAATAGATATACTGCCTTATTAGTATTCTTTATATAAAGAATACTAATGAGGACACGACTACAATAGATACTGCCTTATTAGTATTCTTTATATAAAGAATACTAATTAGGAGTGTTTTATCAGGTTTAAAGCCACTGCACGTGACATATTATGGTTGACATCAGGGCGCTTATATATCTATTTATTATGATATATAAGCGCCCTGGTTGACATGATTTGCCAATAAGCTTATGAATTATTAATGAGTGTTTGAAGGGCAATTACAATGGCGAGCGCGCAGCACGAGCCATTGTTAAATGCCCGTAAAGATCAGTTTTGAATATATTTTAACTAGTACTTGTAAAATGAATTTATTTGTTTACTTTATTAGTATTCACTGCCCATGGGGACAATCTCACGCTTCATTAGCGTGCTATTAAAACCTGAATTAGTACTATTGTTAACTTTCATAAACATCCCAATCTCGTACCCAGAGCAATGCCTGTGCGCGGGCTAGGATGGCATTGGCTCTGGGGAAATTGAATTTTTCCTGTGCTGTGATTGGTTTAACGTTTATCAATCGTGCATGCCAACAAAGAACCGGAACCCCTAAATTTAGGGGTTCCGATTGTCAATTTCCCCAGAGCCAATGCCATCCTAGCCCGCGCACAGGCATTGCTCTCGTTACGAGATTGGCACGGAACAACAACAGTTAACTCAGAGCCGTCAATAACCTATCATCCGATCCCTGAGTTGTTTCATCATTTAAATTACGCACGTGCAGTCTCCGATTTTATACTAATATATTTAGCGTTTTTGTTGTGGTGGTACGTTAAATGATAGATTGCGCATGCGTAACCGATTAAAGCGTAAAAAGTGCGCATGTGCAACAAGCTTTTACATCCCACAAGCAAAGAACCAAATGTTTTAGCTTAAATTCGCTGATTGCAAGTAGGGCATGTTTGTCCATTTTTAAATGGGAGCGCAACTATGCTATTACAAACTAGACTAGGTATTCGCGGGCACGAGAGAATGGGAAGCTAGAAATACCGCCTGCCCAAAAACTACACATTCTCAGTTCTCCCCGGCAGCTGGGTGCCGGAGCATTCTGATTGGTCAGAATGTTGATTTTCAATTCTTGATTGACAGGAGTAAAGAATTAGAATTATTAGTGCTAATTTTAGAAGTTACTGTTGCCGTATTTATAATATAAACTATTGTTATTTTCGTAATTGATAACGATATATCGAGTGATGGCATACACTAACCAAAAAATAACGAATGTATTAATTGAGAATTAAGCGTTGAATTCTTTAATCTTTATCTGGAATCGGAAATCGCTTCGTCTTGAAGAATGAACAACGAATATCAATCCAACATTTGTTGCTTGATAGATGTGATACCGTGATAAAGTGCCGAGTTGAAGATACAGGCTCGTAAATGACACTCTAAGTAATGTTTTTGATAGCGATTGGAACAAGACTATTACAAAGTTACGTCCGAAGGGGCCGAAGTTATGTTCGGCGAAAGGTATGGCTAGTCTATATTTTTGTTCAGACAATTGCGTAATTTGATAATACACGAACTCGCTTGACTTTCAAAGCTCATAAATCGCTATAATGTTGACATCGATTAAAACTATCGCTATGAATGAGGACATATTGTTACACTGAATCGAACGTGGTATTTTTGTCTTCATAGCATTGAATGAACCGAAGATATGAAACGTCAAAGCCGTATATTTGCACTGGTGCAATACGTGAGTTTGACAAATAATTAAAATAAATACATTAAGATGGGCGGGACCATGCGTTCGATGGGCGGAACTCAGAATGAGTTTTTGGGCAGGCGGTATTTCTAGCTTCTACCGCCTGCTACGCAGGCTATTACAAACTAATAGCATGGCTTTTCGGGAGATTAGTGATTAAATGACCCCTTACCCTCAGCAGGTTTGCGGAATTCCCTCGGGCTTCGCCCTTGGGGATTCCGCAAACCTGCCTCTGGTTACGGGTCCATTTAATCACTAATCTCCCTCAAGCCATGCTATTACTTATAAGTATAGTTGTTTGTTGAAAATCTACGGTATTAAAATCATACACCAAAGATAAGTCAAACGACAAATTATATGTCACTATTTTATACGTCCTTTATGTCCTTCAATGAGCACTGTTTAGTGTAATTTTCTAAACAGCTTTCGTTTTGCGATGAATAAGCTTTAATTTTTTGCTTGACATGCATTCTAAGTAAATTCGCCTATCGTATTTGCAAATTTTATTATTTTAAACACACAAAACTGCACCAAAACTCTTTCAAGTTACTCGCAAAACCTACCGATATGTTTAAACTTACTTGTGTTGTCTCTTATTCTTTATAAATGTCTTCATTTCTTTAATATTTTGTATTAATTTTGAACGTATATCATGAACTTAAAAAGTTCATCTTGTTCGCTTATTGTTGCTATGCTACAGTACTCAGGGAGGTCCCGGAAGCGTGCCTTTTGCAAACAAAAACGTTTCCGGTTTAATACAAAAATATTTAAAGATTTCAAAATGAATATAATAAAGTGAAAATTGAACTTCGTGTCGTGCAATTTTGGACTGGCGGGAGTGCGATTTGTAATCACAAGTTTGATTTCAGTCTAAATTGCACTCCAGTCAGTTCAATTACCATTATTAATCATTTTGGTCTGCATAAGATTTTAAATTTCTTCACATAGACGGTTTTATTAACTTCTGAAAATTGAAAAATCGCGCTGCGTTGGTGTGTCTGGGCCTTTACAACATCATTTCGATGTGTGTAACCTAACTAAACATCGTCATTTTCTTATCAGTTGTCTACAGTACTTGTGTGAACTCTGCATGTGCGAGAAAGCGCGCAATCTATAACTTTGAGAAAACAATAATTTCGAACGTAAATACTGACTGAATTGTTCTGACAACAAAGAGACACATGTCAAATTTAAATTAACCAATACGGTTAATCAATATTTATCGATTGTTACTAACAATTAATCGATTATGAACGATTATGAAAATGAGCCAGTGGGAACAACTCTACTTGCGACGCGAATGCATGAATTTACTGGTCCACAAGTACAGACGTAAAAACGCGCATGCAAGCTTGACATGGGCCAGTTGTTCAAAGCTGGATTAGCGCTAACCCTGGGTTAAAATTTAACCTGCTGTTTTACTTCATCTGTTTCTGCACGTCTGTTTAATTCAAAACGTCAGAGAGGAAAGCATCTACTGATCCGCAAAAGATTTATCAAGAAATATTTCCAAGTTTATAAACAAGCTGTTTGGATGTTTGCTTTGAATTTTGGGTTAACCTTGGGGTAACAGGTGGGCAATTTGTCGACACTGACCAAAAATAGCGGCTCATTTCTTCTTGAGTTGCCATTTTCGCGTCGAAGAGCAAAAATATAGACTTTCGGAGAATATTTTAGCTGTTTACTATCAAATATATTTGTGAAACAGTATATAATCTCACTGAGGAAGGCAAACGGTTTCTGAAAAGCTAAAGTACGTCGAAATCAGCGTTGGAATAGACTATATTTTCACCGGGGAAACATGAACTAAATGGATATTTACATCAACACTAAATTTCGCTCGTGCCTACAGAGCTAGCTGGATTAAAACAGATGTTAAGAAGTAAGTGAAAATGTGAATTTTGTGACTTATACTTTCATTAAAATGTTTCAGAAGGGCTGCTAATGTCAAACTACACGTGTGACAGAGCTGTCAGTATACCCATATTTCAATGTTTATGTTGAAATGGCCCATCTTCTTTGAGGTATAGCTTAAAAATTAGGGTATGCTCATCACTTGAAACTAGCTTTAAATCAAAGTTTTATCTATAGTCTTTTTATTAGAATTGAAATCATTCATGGGGAAAATGTGCCAGAGGGTTGAAATTGCCCTTGTAAATGTACACTATTTTTTATATGTTTGGGTTAATATTTTGAAAAGGTGTTCTGGAAGGAAAATATGTATTGAACAATACTGGTTGACCCTTAAATTATAACTAGTGTTATGTAAATCACAGAAAATTGAAAAAAGTCTGGTCCATACACAATAGTTTGGGTTCTATGAGGTCCCGAATGTGGCTTATTTCAATGTTTAATCTGTTTACCTTGAAAAACATAGAAAATTGAATAAGTCAAGAATTTGACTATGCTCATCACCCAAAACCAGGTTTTTCTAATTGCTTTTTCACCTGGGTTTGTGGCAATACCAGTTATGCGACCACGAAAAATGCGCGCGGCATAGTATAACTCAACTTATTTTAGTGAGTTTGTTAAAGAATTGTGCTCACTATATATGCCTGTGGTATCTAAGATTTTTTTCATAACATTAGATGATAAATTTAAGTTCTGTTTTCTTTTATTTTTAGGTGATAGTATCTGTTCACATTGTGTTGGTATCAAATTTTGCACAAGATTAAATTATTATTTCACATTCCTTTATTGAAATATCCAAATAAATGGAATATGACATCAAGCTGGAGGACTTAAAATCCTGTTTCCAAACTTGTTTTTGTAAAAATAGAAAATAACAACTTATTATGTGTTGTTCTAATAAAAACTATTGTTTGTGATATGCATATTAAATTTTTGAAATTACATTTCATTCTTTGTTAAAATGTGTACTAGGATACTGAAATCTTTCAGATAAGCTAACAATACCTTTGTAACTTATATAGCCAAGTGTTCTATCTATTTATGTTCAGATTAAACAAATGATGGGTAAAATATTAGATTAGATTTTTGCCAAAAAATGAGCTTGCCTGTTTTCAAAGCATAAAAAGCAATCAAATAAAGCAAAAGTACTTATTTTCAATTTAAAACCTTTGGAATGCATAACTTAATGTTTTCCACTAAATATTACAAAGTTTTCGTTCATTAAAATGTTGTTTTATCAGCTTTAAAACCAGATAAATTCACGAAACACTCTTAATATATGTCGCCATATTGATTTTCTTCGCGCATGCTCAGACAAATTGCCCACCTATTCCTTGGGGTAAGTTAATCGGCTTTTGAACAACCGGCTCGAGATCTGCAAACAAGTTGTAACAAGGTTGTTGTCAAGCCGATATCAGAATGTTTTAGTAGTGCTTGTTCCCAGTTGTTGTGCAATAAAGGCAAGACTGAATGAGAAAGTGGATCAGATTCTGTGAGACATAGGCGCCCAGGTATCCATAATCTCAACGAGCTTTATTAGAGAGTACTTCCCAAATGTGTTGATTCGTGATGTAGGTGATCTGCTGGACGGCGATCTTAACCTAACCGCAGCCAATGGTAGCGACATACCATACAGAGGGTGGGTGGAGTTTGACTTGCAAATAGGAGATTCGGAACACGTTCTTTCGGTGCCTTTCTTAGTTACCGATGAGAAAGTGGGAGTTCCGTTAGTGGGTTTCAACGTTATAGAACATTTAATCAAATTTAATAAACTGAACGGTGATGAAATAGCTGCAGCTTTCGTTAGAATAAATGCTTGTGACGCGACAGCCCTTGTGAATTTAGTGAACAGTGCAAACCACGATGAACTGTGCGTTGTAAAGACTTGCAAGAAAGATGTTGTCGTACCTCGTGGACAATCCGTAAAAGTGAGTTGCAGAGTAAACACAGGTCCTCTAGATAGTAGACAATACGACCAAACATGACATTACTTTAAAGAACAGGACAGTTTTAGGCCACTTACAACTTGTGCAATCAGTTACTCCGAAGTAAAGCTAAAGACAGAAGACACTCGTGGGGTAGATAAGTCGAATCCAAACGGAACAGATAGTTCGCAGTCAGGCCAAACCAGTCAGTTTTCGCACGACGAAACAAGCGAACCGTTGAATTTACCCTCTCACTTAAAGAATGTTGATATGATTACCTTAAATGAAGAGCAAAGAAAATTAGCCACAAAACTTCTGATCGAACAAACTGATGTTTTTGCAAGAAACGATGACGACATCGATAGCATTCCAGACCTCCAGATGAATATTAATTTGAAGGACAAAACACCTGTCCAGAAAAATTATGTTGCTGTACCAAAACCACTATACCCAGAGGTTAAAGCGTATATAGAGGACTTACTAAATCGAAGCTTTATTCGCAAGTCTACCTCCTCTCACAGCTCTCCAGTCGTGTGTGTTAGAAAAAAGGACCAAAGCTTACGACTATGCATGGACTACCGCGAGTTAAACAAGAAAACCCACGCAGATCGGCATCCAATACCTAGGAACCAGGAAACGTTAGACAATTTAGGAGGCAACTCATGGTTTTCCGTGCACGACCAAGGCAAAGCATACCATCAAGGAGTCCTAACCCCTGAAAGTCAGCCTCTTACTGCTTTCATAACGCCGTGGGGACTCTACGAATGGGTTAGGATCCCATTTGGCCTGGCCAATGCACCCGCCTCGTTCCAACGTTTTATGGAAACGTGCCTTGGTGAACTAAGAGACGAAATATGCGTACCATATCTCGACGATATTATCGTATTCAGTGCCACGTTTGACGAGCACATTTCACACCTCCGAAAGGTCCTACAGCGGCTTAAAGAACATGGCGTAAAATTGAAACCAAAAAAATGTTCAATGTTCAAACGAGAGGTCTTATTCCTTGGACGAATTGTTTCAGCAGAAGGCTATACATTGGACCCGTCGACAGTTGCTCCAGTCCTCCGATTAAAATAGACTCTCCCGTAATAGCCCTTACGTCCTACACACGGACGCTTTCGAAAGTGGGTTGGGCACGGTACTGTACCAAGAACAAAACCGAAAACTACGTGTCATCGCTTACGGTTCTCGGACATTAACAGTACAGCGGCAGAAAAGAACTACCACCTTCACTCCGGAAAACTGGAATTCCTAGCTATGAAATGGGCAGTTTGCGAACAGTTTCGGGATTACCTCTACTACGTGCCAAGTTTTGTTGTGTTTACGGATAACAACCCTTTGACCTACGTCTTATCGACCGCCAAACTTAACGCAACAGGACTACGGTGGGTAGGGGAGCTAGCGGAGTTCAGTTTTACCATCCGTTATCGGCCAGGAAAAGCAAACGCCGACGCTGACACGCTTTCTCGAACATCAAACGATATGAATGAGTATATGAAATCGTGCACTCAGAAGACCAGCCAAGATGAATTACGGACCATACTCAGTACTGTACAACTCCAAGAAAAGGGACAAGTAAACTGGGTATCTGCGCTCACCGACGACCCGGACGTCCTGAGTGCCGACGCGGCAATACAGCCCGATAGCAACATTATAACATTCGAAACAACCGACATCCAAAAGGCCTAATTGGTAGATACTGTCATTGGAAAAGTCTACTCTCTCATTCAAGCGGATAAGAGACCAACAGCGAACCAACGAGCGAGAGAATCTCCCGATACCAGATTGCTTCTTCACGAATGGCAAAAATTGTGTATCGATACAAATGGGGTGTTAAGAAGGAAAAGTAATGCGTATGACCAGATAGTTCTTCCCAGGAAGTACCAGTCGTTGGTTCTGAAAGAACTTCACGACAAAATGGGCCATATTGGATCTGATAGAGTCTTACATCTCGCGAGGGACCGTTTCTACTGGCCTTGAATGCAAAGAGATATAGAACACTATAGAACCAATGTCGATGTGTTAAACAGAAACCTCCCCGATTAAAGAACAGAGCCCCGTTACAGCCGATTATAACCTCTTCACCATTCGAGGCGGAGAGTTTGAAAACCAACTCCTCTCTCGGCTTGAACAAATTTTTCCGGTGTCAAACATTCCCGCACTACACCTTACCATCCACAGGGTAATGGGCAAGTCGAGCGTTTCAACAGAACATTGCTCGATATGCTAAGAACACTCCGGAAAACGAAAAATCTCGGTGGAAATATCACGTAAACAAAGTAGTACACGCCTATAATTGTACCAGAAGTAATTCAACTGGATATTCACCATTCTTCCTTCTTTTCGGGCGTCATACACGTTTACCAATCGACTTGATTTTCCGTAGCAGTTCACCCAGGACCAACAAGAACTACCCACAGTACGTCTCGGAATGGCGGAAAGCGATGCAAGAAGCATACCAAGTCGCGAGACAGAAATCGACGCAGAGCAGTGTGAAAGCCAAGAAATACTATGATCGTTTGGTACGTAGTTCGGTGCTCCAGCCCGGCGATCGAGTGTTGGTGCGAAATTTAAGTGAGAGAGGTGGTCCAGGAAAGTTCAGATCGTTTTGGGAAAACGATATTCACGTCGTTGTTCGAAGAAAGGGACCAGACAGCCCCGTTTATGAAGTTAAAGCAGAAACCAATGGTACGAAGATAAGAGTGTTGAATAGAAACCTGCTGCTTCCTGTTGAAGAACCCCTAACCGACCCAGCACGGACAGTGTCTCGGCGACAGCTACGTAAAAGACAAAACCAAAGCCTAACTAACCCAGCCGCAAGCGAATCCGAAAACTGTGATACATCCACTGACGACGAGAATAGGCCGGATGTGATAATCAGTGTTATCCCCAGGAATTCTAAAACTGCACCTCCGACCGATATCAAACCCGAAGTCTTCCCAATCCCTCCAGAACAACCACACGAGCCAGAAGTCCCTCCAGTGCCGGAGGTCCTCCCAATCCCTCCCGGGCAACCACGGAAAACAAGAGCGAGACAACCACCAGACAGGTTGACGTATTACGGGCCTGGCCAAGGTTTTCCAGCTGGTGTCTTCGAAACCCCAGCAACAAACCCAATTTCAGCAGACCAATGGCAACCTCATCGGATACTCTGGACGACTAATCCACCTCACCTACCCTTCTATCCACCACCCATGTATGGAATGCCTATCGACACCTTTCACCCATTTTCCCACCAAGCCCCTCTTTATGGACCATGGGCCTTTCCCTATCAAGCCGGCATGAACTTTTTTCCTTATTAAATATTAAACTAAGAAAAAAATATATATATATAAGACTCCGGAATTTATATGACGTTAGGATGAACTGCATCTGAACGCTGTCACAAAGAAAGAGTCCCAGTAGTGATACGAGCTGCAGCGTATTATTATGTGAGATAGTATTTTGGACCGTACTGATAGCAAGTACCGTAACATAGCATGGAATTTCCTGTAACAATAGACGTTAGAGTAAGTGTCATGGGACGACACTTGTTTCAAGAGGGGGAATATGTTAGTATGTCAGGACTTAATTAATAAGAGCAATTAGCTTTTACTGAACATTGAATGACGTTTACGCGTTGATTGATAAATAACATGTATGTAGCGCACATGCATGTGTAGCGCAATAAGAAAAAGCTTACAGTCAGCGAGGATTAAAAGATATAACGAAGTCAGACATATAATTTGTATACTAAGTGTTTTATACACTATTAAATAAAGACCTTTGGAGTTAATTCGTGTGTTATTGGCATCTGATAACCTAACAACGGTAACATATACACATATTATTAGCACTGATGAAGATCCGGGCTTACGGATCGAAAGCATTGCAATAATAAATTTACGTGGCGTTTCCACAGAACTAAGCTTATATTGTTCCAGACTTGTCAACAACTGGGAACAAGCTGTGCGAACACATTTTGTTGATAAGCTGTGAGATTGTTACACGTGCATGGGTATCAATGTCTCTGCAATGACGAGAATTTTATCAATTTGTGCAAAAAGGACGAAAGCTATGCTAGTACTCGTCTGACATCCACAGAACTTACTTACTTACATTTGGAGCGCATCATGAAACCCTTAGGCCGTTTGCTGCGTCCTGATATCGTTCACTTTCATTAAGCATGTCTTGGAACGGAAATATTTTTACGGGAACTAACACTTTCAAGCACGCTGAGTTCGAAGCCGAAAACTTCCCGCGCCGTAAACCCGCAGTTTTCTCACAAAATGCTATTTTATCTTCGCTAATTTCGCAACAAATTTTTTCATTGTTCAACGACACGGATCGATGACGCCACACGATTATATCACTCAAAATGAACTATTTCTATTAACCAGTCTTCCTTTTAACAAAATACCGGTTTTGCCCGAATTATTATGAGTTATGTAATCTTATGCGTGTTGCACGTAAACAACATATCTTGTCTACAACTTTGGGAAGGTACAGATAACGCCTTCTAAAATCCTCAGTTCTAGCGATATATCTGCAAAATCACAAGGACGTTAATGCTAAGTCTTTTGGCTATATCACTGGCCTGAAAAATAACTAATTTAACGTGATCAAGGTATTTAAAACAAAAGTAATGCGAAGCCAACGTAACGGCAAAGACAACGCTAAAGTGAAATATTGTCGATTGGTTGCTAGTAGAAGACCTACGATAGGATGAATCTTAAATAACCTTAAACTATAGGGGAATAGATGTTCATATCAAAGACAAAGACCAGTGCCAAGGTATAAAATCTGCTCTGTAAACGTACGACGAAGTGGAGAAATGTGTGCAATGTGTGCAAGCTGTTTATTTGGTGATTTCAACCTATATGGCAGCCCTCTTTCCAATAATATTCGCTTATCGCACAGAATAACACCAACTAATATAATAGTTCAAATGCATAATAAGTTACCTCTTGAATTACATCTCAGAAACTGTGTTGGAAATGGAGATGCTGACCCTTTCCATAAGATTACCGTTTTACATCGTTCTATAAAACATTTTGATCGCATGTAAGGAATTATTTCTCATCCCAGAGATATAGCCCAACGACTTAACATTGACGTCCTTGTGATTTTATAGAGATACAGCCATAACTGAGGATTTTACAAAGCGATATCGGTACCTTCCCAAAGTTGTAGACAAGATAATGTTGTTTACGTCCAACACGCTTAAAATTGCATAACTCAAAATAAATCGAGAAAACCGGTCTTTTGTTCAATGTAGAGACTGGTTCATAGGAATTAGTCATTTTGAGTTATGCAATCGTGTGTCTTCATCCATCCGTGTCGTTGAACAATGAAAAAATTTGTTGTGAAATTAGCGAAGATAAAATAGCAGTTTGTGAGAAAACTGCGGGTCTACGGTGCGGGAAGTTTTCGGATTTAAACTCAGCGTGTTCGAAAGTGTTAGTTCCCATAAAAATATTTCAGTTCCAAGACATGCTTAATGAAAATCGTTTTCTAGGCACTTTTCGAGGTTACAGCAAACGGCCTAAATATTGTTTCGCAACGAAGCAAAAACCGATCCGATACAATGAAAACATAGCCTAAGACTAAGGATGTAAACGAGCTTATATTCAGAAATAAAATCTGCATAGCCAAAAATCTCAAATTTGATTCCTTGCATAAAGGACATGTGCTAATAAGGTGCATAATAGCGACCTAAGTGTAGATTTTACTGTTAGATGACAGATGAAGTAACTGGGCTTGTTTCAAACGTCGCACTTCTCATGTGCCGAACGCATTACTCATTAGAAACAATAGATAATGAGGCATTTCAGCTGATTATCTATTGTTTTTAATGCGTTCGGCACATGAGAAGCGCGACGTTTGAAACAGGCCTTATATTTAACAATTATACTATGAGCTCGAGTCGTATATGAGCTGATAGCCGACGAGGTGCGTAGGCACCGTGTCGGCTATCAGCCATATACGACGAGAGCGAATGGTATAATTGTTTTATCCCCGTAATACCCCCGGCTATTTACACCCGGGGAAACGAATTGAAAGCATTAGCGAAGTCTAAAGTTCATCAATCATCGCGGGCGTGGGTCACCAACGGTGTTCGAGTGTTGGGTGTGTGGTCATCCTCACTGATCTCAAAAATATGGCGGACTGTCATGAATAGCGGACGCTGATTTGTCCAATTTAAAGTTTGCATTATAACGACTGGATGACGACAGCAAAATAGCAAACATTTCTTGATTTGATGATTGATAAATTTCTTGCAAATATATTTCATTTTTGCAAGATTTTGTAAATTTCAAAAGCTCTCTCAGAAAGAAACTGCGAAAGAATCGGCTAAAAGAAGGGAGCCGACGTTAACGGAAGTAAGTTTGTTTTAAATATTGATTTTATATGCCTTTAAAACCCGACGGCCTTTGCGAATATGAAACAACTAAACAAGACAGCATATAATTTCAGTGTATCTTTAATATTGATTCCCTTTATTATTTTTGTGAAATTTTTAAATAAAAAAAGAAAGCAAAGTTATTTGCATGCGAGAATTTGAAATCATTTTATTGCAAGCTCAAAGTATATCGATAATTTAATTAAAGGCAGTTTAGTTTTATAAAGAACACTTTAAAAACGTTTTGCGAAGCGTTTGTGGTTGAATTTTACCTTAAATTGAAGCTTATATTACGTATAATAACATATCTAACATATATATGTTGGGAAATTGATTAATAAAAACAGAGCCTTTTTCTGCTTTATGCAGACTTTACAATAATTAGGCAATTCTGGGATATGAAAGACCCATACATTCCATTACAGTCATTACACTACCAGTTACTGGTTAATTTCATTATTGGTGTAAAATGTGGAGGCTGGGCTACAATTTATATGGACTATGGTGGCTGGGCTACAAATTAATCTGTAATATACATGGCTTCTCAAAGCCTAATTGCTGTTTAATAGAACAACAGTCTATGATAATGAGAGTCAATGAGTACGAGTATATAATAAGGTCATCCTGCAATTTGTGCACTGTTGCATGTAGATCGAGCACTGCATTGTATACAATGGTTGTACTTCGACATGTGCATGGTTATACTCTAGCTCCTAGTTATAATTATATTGGCTATCAAACGAAAAACATACGTGACTGAGGTTATGAGCTAGATTTGCAAGTTTTGCAACTCTCATCTATTAAATTTTCCAGACCTGTATATAAAATAAACAGTAAAACAATGATTACATCGTACATACCATACAATCTTTGTTGTTGCTTGTTTGCAGAATACTCGATAAATTATCAGGTAAAAGACTTAAAACCACGATGTAGTACGCGGTGTGCCACATTTCAGCCGGTACGACCATATCCACATGACTATATAGTCGGTAAAGTATGCGAGTAAATGGCGACTGTCAGTCGCGCATCATGTATACTTCCAATCCAAACGCTAATCCTAACCCAAA